GAGCGAGCCTGCCTGCCTTGGCACCTTTCCCACGACTGGTTGGTTGGTGTACACACCTATCCTTGCACATTGCAGGGAGGTGAGCGAGCGAGCGAGCCTGCCTGCCCTGGCACCTTTCCCACGACTGGTTGGTTGGCTTTCCCACGAGAGACACGCGTCCCCGCTCAGGTGGGGTGGTGAGGCGGGACTACGAGAGGGGAGAGCGGCATCTGTGCGCGAGAGCAATTCTTGCAGAATTAAATCTTTCTCCGAATGTTGCTCAGGTTTAATCTCTGGCTTCTGAATCCTTTTTTTAAAAAATAAACAAACAAGCAAACCTTATTTATTAGGATTTTACAAATCTGTAAAACGTAAAAATTAAGCTGGAGAAAAGGACATTAGAAAAGAAGGAATTAAAAAGAAAAAGAAAATGTAGATATGCCCTTTTTCCCCCATGGAATGATTGGCATCTTATTTTTTTGTTCTCTCCTTCCTTTTAACCGTTTTTAATTCTCACCCGGTTCCTGGATTGTAATGGAGAGGAATTGGCAAAAACCTTGGTGATGGCCTATTTTATTCTAAACCAGAGTTGTGGCTGGACCAACATGCAAGCAATAAATTTTGTAGGGCTTTCTTGGTTTGTGGCACTTTGATGTCTGTCGCCAAATTTCCAATGCTGGAAGATTTTTGACGCTGGTGAAATTGATCATAGGCTCTTCTTTGGCCTATTGACATTTATATCAAAAATTGTATCAAAACAATTCCTAACAAATAACTAACATTTCTAACTAACATAATTCAATAGACATTATTTAGGCAGTGTGATATGTAAAGATCCTAAAATAACTTTTGCCGTAGCTGTATTTCTAATTGCAGCCTGGGGAATTCACGCTTTATTAATAGCAAAGCTATTAATTTTTTTTTATTACATATGGTTATGTTTTGTTTTTTTGTCTGAACTGGATCTATAACCTAGTTAATGCTTATTCCAGAACAAAAATGGCCCCAATATAGGATAAACCTGGGCTAAACTGTGTGAGGCTTGGTGTGTTAGTGAGAATGCAAATATCGTGTGAATGTTTAGTAGCTTAATCCTAACATAAAATAGAAGTAGCCATCCATTAATAACGGCGAGTCATTGAGAATTGGGCCGCATACAGGTTTAATATATTATGATGATGGTGGTGATGGTTGGTTGCAGTCAGCCAGATGTTCAGACTGGATTGGCATTTTTATCCCCCCATCGAGTCTTCCAGGGACCTGGATTAGACAGATGTTGTTTGATGGTGTCAAAACTATTCTTTTGTAGTTGACTGGGGATTCAAGTGGTGTTCCAGATGTTTGAGATTGCATCCAAGGCACCTCTATTATTATTATTGCACTTGGTTGCACAGCCAGCCAGATGTTTAGACCTTTTTTTTTTAATAAGTGGCATTTTTATCCACCTATCAAGTCTTTCTCAAGGACCTGGAACTGGCATATGTGGATGTCAGATGGTGTTAAAGAAATCACAGGATGTCAGCTGTTCCCAAATCAAGCTGCCTTTTGCAATTGACTGATGGATTTTGTCAATGCCGAGGGTGTGCCGAAGGGGTGCCTGGGATTGCACCCAAGGCACCTATGATTATTAATATTATCTCTGAGCCAGTCATAAGCTACTTTATTGGATGGTTTTATAACTTTGAATGGTGGTTAAATGGTTGGAAGTGAAGGTCTCGCTGAACAATATAGAATTATGTCTTGGAAAGTGTTTATACCCAATAAACATTTTGACACTAAATCTGGCAAATTATACTGGAAGACAGTTTTCAAAAAGGATAGGTTAGGCACCAGGTGGGCAGATGTTCTGGGCAAGCAAACAGAGAGTCCCTTTGGTCTCGTGGTAAAGGCAGCAGGCTAGAAAATAAGAGACCGTGAGTTAAAATCCTAACTTAGCTATGAAAGCCAGTTGGGTAACTTTGGGCCATTCGCCAGGAGACAGTGAGTTCTAGTGCTGCCTTGGACATGAAAGCCAGCTGGGTGACTTTGGGCCAGTGCAGCCCAACTTCACCTCACAAGGTGATGGTTGTGGGGAAAATAGAAGGAGATGTTGTGTATGTTCACTTCCTTGTGTTTGTAAAAATAATAAAGATCGGATACAAATAAATAAACCGAGAAGAGAAGCTGATTTTTTTCAGCCCACCTTTCCAAAGTGATTCAGTAATGTTATTATTCTTTTCTTGTTTAGGTTAAACTATTTTCTTTCAATGTGAAGGCTTCATCACCATTCTCTGAAGATGAAGATAGTCCTTATGGTAGCCGAGAAGCCCTCTCTGGCTCAGTCCATCGCCAAAATCCTTTCAAGAGGTTTGGACAAAAAAATGATACTCTGTTAATGTTAATTACAATTTTGAATGTCAATATTCCAAGCATTATTCACTCACTCATTCATTCAAATTAAATATAACGTCTAAGCATATTTTTTTTGGTAATTTTTTTATTTTATACAATCCATCTTCTGTTTAAACAGTGTGCCACACAAATATCTTGTGCAACAATTACATAACAATTACAGTTTATACATTTAACAGATTTAACAGATAATCAAAGTTGGAAGGGACCTTGTAGGTCATCTAGTCCAACCCCCTGCCCATATTCATTGCTTGGTTTTAATACTCTATTCTTAATACCAATCTACATAAAATATCTAATTCTAAGTATATTGATAATGTGTAAGTATAAGGTCTATTTACCCATGTAGCATGGCAGTATTATCCTTCTCATCTTTTCTACTAACTTCTCTTACTGGCATTGTTATGATTACAGTATTATTACCATGTTGTTTTGCATATAAACAGAGAGCTTTTGTGCCTGAGACAAATTCTTTGTGTGTCTAATCACACTTGGCCAAATGAAAGTGTTATATTTCTATTTCTATAGCCACCCATCTTAATCAATGACTCTGGGTAGCCTACAATTTAAAAAATAGCTTACTGCGAAAATACTAAAAACATTTTAAAACAATAACAACCTTAGAAACTATCAATATATAAATATAATTATTTGGCTTTTATTCAAAATTAAATATGATGAAGGTACAATAAATCAAAACATTAATACAATGTTAATAGCAAGTCATTTGCCTTCAAATCGAATCCATTATCGTTGTTTTGATTTTAAGGTAACTTGATGTATGCTTGATGTATGACTTGATCTATGTGCTTATCTTTTTTTTTTCATTTTGCTTTTTTCTTAAAAGATCTCTTTTAATTATTGGGAGTTAACATGTCTGGCACTGCCTGGATGTAGCCAACTCTTCCTTGTCACCCTTGACCCTGGGTGCATTGTAATTCATATTCTCCAATGGGACACATCCATAGCCAAGAGCCATCCATCTTGCTCTCCAGTTAGAATTTTACGTGGCAGAAACTTCAGTCACCTAGTTACAATCTCTGAAAAACTATTTATGGAATGCACTTTCAATTTCCAGGCAAACTCCTTTCCCCCCTCCCTTTCTGTTGGCAATTCTAAAAAGACCATAGAAATATTTTATGAGTTGCCATTGTAAACTTGAAAGGATGTTTGTAAAATCTGACCTGTTTTTGTGGTGCAATATTGTTGTTGTTTTTTTCCCCACCGCGGTAGGAAACATGTCATCTCGCAAAGGATTAAACGGGGCGTGTTCTGTCCATGAATTCACTGGTCCTTTCATTGGGCAAACTGTCCACTTCAAGATGACGTCCGTATGTGGTCATGTGATGACGCTGGATTTTATAGGTAAAATAATCATTGTTGGCTATTTTCTTCCACTTTGCTGTAAGTTGAAAGCAAGAAAGATGCAACGCAGGGCCGTTGAAGGGAATGTCAACCCCCAACGCTTTAAAAGTAGATGATCCTTGACTTACGACCACAGTAGAGCCCCAAATTTATGTTGCTAAGTGAAACATGTGTTGAGTTTTATCCCACGTGACGACTTTCCTTGCTCCAGTTTTTAAGTGTATCATTGCCTTGGTTAAGTTAGTAACAGGGTTGTTAAGGGACTTCCTCATTGACTTGGCTGGTCTGAAGTTTGCAAAAAACTGACCACATGACAAGAGGACATCGCAACCGTCATAAGTACGAACCACTTGCCAAGCACCTGAATTTTGACAAAGTGGCCGTGAGGATGCGGCTACATTGTAAGTGTGAGAAATGGCCCTAAGTCCCTTTTTTCAATGCTGTTGTAACTTTGAACGGTCATTAAATGAATGGTTGCAAGGCAGGGACTATCGGTATTCAGACTACAGAGCGCAGTTTATCAGAAGCCCATGACTTCACAATTTGCCAGAATAGAAATAGAATAGAATAGAATACAATACAATACAATACAATACAATACGAATGAATAGAAATAGAAAACAATACAATATGAATGAATAGAAATAGAATAGGAATAGAAATAGAATACAATACAATACGAATGAATAGAAATAGAATAGAAATAGGAATAGAAATACAATAGATGATATGATGATTGTTATGTTATCCGTCCTTTTTAGGAAAATACAACAACTGGGATAAAGTTGACCCCGCTGAACTTTTTAGTAAAGCGCCAACCGAAAAGAAAGAAGCCAACCCAAAACTAAACATGGTGAAATTCTTACAGGTGATGAACTCTTTGGAATTTGCTTAGGAAATTTAAGTATTTATTGGCCTGATCGGGGGAGCCACGTTGATCATATTAGACCTGTCTGCACCAACAGGCAAAACCCCATCTGAGGGATGCAAGTAGCACCCAAAACCATGGTTCCCCCTCGGTCCTGTGGAAAATCTTTCCCACGGAACCGGTCCCTGGTGCCCAAAACATTGTGGGCCACTGACTTAGGGGGTCCATTCCATGCAGCCGTCCAAATTGGTCGAAATTCTCAAAAAATGGGATCTCAAGGGTTTGCCACGTACCAAACTGGATAGGCCATTGAACAGTGAATGAAATTTATCTTTTCTTTGATTTTTTTTTTCAGGTGGAAGGGAGAGGATGCGATTACATTGTTCTGTGGCTAGATTGCGACAAGGAAGGTGAAAATATATGCTTTGAGGTATATCTCATTATCATTTTCTTTTAACGACTCCATAATCCCTTACATCGGGGTGGAGTCTAGGCAACCGAATGGAGCTGAGTGTTTTCTGGCCGGATGCCCTTCCTGTCACCAATGCAGAGTCTTGTTCAGCAGATATATTCTCCTTGTGCCCAGAGAGAGAAATATCTGGCTCTACCTAGGATCGAACTCACAGCCTCCTGTTTGTGAGGCGAGAGCTCCAACTTCATGGTATATGTCTCATGACCCAACTGTAACATTTTCCTCAGTTTAACCAGGTTGAGCATCCGACAAGCACGCCGCTAGCCAAATAACGAAATCTTGGCCACGGGGATGCTTCGTTTAGCGACCGTTGAAAGTTACAACGGCACCGAAAAAAGTGACGCAATGACCGGTTTTCACACTTACGACCGCTGAAGCATCCCTGTGGTCACCCGATCAAAATTTGGGCACTGGCACATATGAGAGTCGCGCTGTCTGCCATCGTGTGGTTTCCACTTGGGACCTTCCCAGCCAGCTTTTGACAAGCTAAGTCAATGGCGGGGGGGGGGAGGCCAGATTTGCTTAACGACCACATGATTCACTTAACAACTGCATTGTGTCAGGGCTCCAACAAATCCACCCCCATTCAAATCATAAGTCTCTAGCCACATCTCTCAGAGTAAAAAAAAATGATTTATTAGGAGTGACCATGTCGGCGTTAGCTGGGTGCAGCCGACACTAAAATACATAATTCATTTCCCCCTTTGACCCTGGTCTTCCCCCACCCCCTGGATGTATATTCTCCAATGGGACACATCCATAGCCAAGAGTCATCGATCATGCTCTCCAGTAATAATCTTGTGTGCCAGAAGCTTCGGCTGCCAAGGCGATTATCTGAGGCATTTAAGGAATGCACTGCTTTCCTCCACTCCTTTTCTGCTGGCATCTAAAAAGACCAAAGGTGTATTTTTTTAGTTGACACATTGATTGACTTAAAGGGTGGCAAAAAAGAGGCCGTACAAGGAGGCAGAACTCAAGAACCGCCACGCTTATCGACAGAAACGTTGGGCACATTGTTGGGCACATAAGCTGAGGACTCCCTGCACCCCACACCTTTGGCTTCCTAGGTGCTGGATGCAACCCTCCCCGTGATGAATAAACCTCGTGGGGGCGAGAAGACGACCTACCGAGCCAAATTCAGCTCCATCACTGACACGGATATTTGCAACGCCATGAACCAGTTGGGCGAACCCAACCACAATGAAGCTCTCTCGGTGGACGCACGCCAAGAGTTAGACCTGAGGATCGGCTGTGCGTTTACAAGGTTTGTAACCGGATAGCTTGGCTTATTTTTTCTGGGCCTTTCGTGGAGGACTGCTTTGGCCATTCCACGCACCTCTTTAATCACATCATAGAATAGAATGTAGAATTGGAAGAGACCTTTGAGGTCTTCAAGTCCAGCCCCCTGCTCAAAAAAGGGAACCCAATACCATTTCAGATAGGTGTCCAGTCTCTTCTTAAAAGCCTCCAGTGTTGGAGAATTGGCAACTTCTAGAGGCAAAGTGGCTAATTGTTCTGATTGTCAGAAATTTGTCCTTAGTTCTAGGTTGTTTCACTCCTTGGTTAATTTCCACCCGTTGCTTCTTGTCCTGCCTTCAGCTGCTTTGGACAATAGCTTGACCCCTTCATTTTTGTAGGAGCCCCTCAAATACTGGAAGACTGCTATCATATCCCCTCTAGTGCCAGTGGTCGGATTCAAATATTTTTACTACCGGTTCTGTGGGCATGGCTTGAAGGGCACGGCAGAGGAAGGAAACCACAAAATCTCCATTCCTTCCCCACTCCTGGGGGCGGGGGGGGGTGTAAGGTTACTGCAAAATCCCCATTCCCTCCCCACCCCAGTAACCTGCTTTCCAGCTCCGTTCTCCTGTGTAGGGCAACCAAGAAAGACCCAGCCGATCAGCTGGAACTCAATGGGAGGCAGAGAAGAGATGGGGTTGGCGGGGCCAGTCAGAGGCGGTATTGGCCGGTTCTCCGAACTACTCAAAATTTCCGCTGCTGGTTCTCCAGAACTGGTCAGAACCGGCTGAATACCCACCTCTGATCTAGTCCTTTTTTCAACTAAATTAAATGTGCCCAGTTCCTGCAACCGCTCTTCGTATGTTTTAGCCTCCAGTCCCCTAATCCTCTTTGTTGCTCTTCTCTGCACCCTTTTCTAGAGATCTCAACATATTTTTGAAGGTGTAGTGATCAGAACTGGGTGAAATATTCCAAGGGTGGTCTTACTAAGGCTTTATAAAGCAGTACCACAATTTAATGAGATCTTGATTCTAATCCCCCTGATGATTCAACCTTGGACTGTTACTATGTTGGCTTCTTTGGGCAGCTGTTGCATATTATTCCTCTTATTTTCTTTTCCGTTCTCTATTTATTCCTACAGGTTTCAGACAAAATATTTCCAGGGTAAATACGGCAATTTAGACAGTTCGCTGATCTCCTTTGGACCTTGTCAGACGCCCACGCTGGGGTTTTGTGTGGAGCGCCATGATAAAATCCAGTCGTTCAAACCTGAAACCTACTGGGTGTTACAAGCCAAGGTAATTTGTGCCTGCTTGGGGCTGGACTAGAACAGGGGTCGCCAACCTTTTGGACCTCAGGGACCACCAAACTCATAATTTTAAATCTCGCAGACCAGAGACCCTAGGAAAAAACCCCCAAAATTCTGCAGGAAAATCCCCCACCCCATTTTCCTACCGATTGATCATTCTTTATTTGGGATCGCAGGGTACCATCTCCAGCTTCGTTCTCAGGGGGAGACAGAGAGAGGGGTGGGGGGGAGAGACTTTTAGCTTCATGCAAGGAAAGCAGCAGAAGTCGCAGAAGTCTTTCTTTCTCTTCCCCCAAACTCCGCCAGAAACGAGTCTTTGCCGGCGCAGCCTCTTGGAGCAGGATGCCTTGCAGGGTCCCAAAGACTCATTTCTGGCGGATTTTGGGGCAGTGAAAGAATGGCCGCGATTCACTTAATGAACGGGGCAAGAAAGTTGGTAAAATGGGGCGGAACTCACTTCCCAAACGTTTCACTTAAGAACAGAAATGTTGGGCCTCCATTGGAGTCGTAAGGTCGAGGACCGTTGGGATGTAGCTCAAACGAGAATATCTCCGCAAATCCTGACGGAAGAACTTGAGATGCACTTGGTATTTTGTTTTTTCTAAATATTTTATTCTTATCAGGTTATTCCTGAAAAAGACAGTTGTTTGACCCTGGAATGGGACAGAGTGAGGATCTTTGACCGAGAAATTGCTCAGATGTTTTTGAACCTAACAAAAATGGCAAAGGAAGCCAAGGTAAGACTACGTTAGCGTTGTCTTAGAAAGGCCACACCTAGAGTCCTGCATCCAGTTTTGGTCACCACACGATAAAAAAGAGGTTGAGACTCTAGAAAAAGTGCAACAGAAGTTTTGGGCTCAATCGTGGTTGTAAGTCCAGGACTCCCTGGATAGCAGTGCATAGTTTGCTACCTTCCTCTTGCTGATGTACAATTGGAGAGAATGACATTTAAATAATTTTTCCTAGGACTTGATTTCTCTGGATAAAGTGGCTAAAGAACATCCTTTTTTTTTTTTTTGCAGGTAGAATCAGTGAGTAAAAAGGAGAAAGTGAAACAACGACCCCTCGCTCTTAATACGGTGGAAATGTTGCGGGTTGCCAGTGCTGCGTTGGGTAAATATGGCAGTATCCCTTTCTTTTAAAAAATAATAGCACTGACCCTTAGATTTCATATGCTGCTTCACAGCCCTCTCTAGGTGATTTACAGAGTCAGCCTCTTGACCCCAACAATCTGGGGCCTTGGAAGGCTGGAAGGCTGAGCCAACCTTGAGCCGGCCAGGATCGAACGGCTGGCAGTGGGCAGAGTCATCCTGCAATTCTGCATTTTAACCACTGCGCCACCACAGCTCTTGATAATCAACCAGAATAGAGCTGGAAGGGACCTTGGAGGTCTTCTAGTCCAACCCCCTGCCTAGGCAGGAAACCCTATATCATTCCAGACAAGTGGCTGCCCAGTCTCTTTTTAAAAGCCTCCTGTGATAGAGCAGGAGGCAACTTCTGTTCCAATGAATAATTGTTTTAACTGTCAGGAAATTCCTCCTTAGTTCTAAGTTGCTTCTCTCCTTGATTAGTTTCCACCCGTTGCTTCTTGTCCTGCCTTCAGGTACTTTGGAGAATAGCTTGACTCCCTCTTCTTTGGGGCAGCCCCTCAAATCCTGGAAGACTGCTGTCATATCTCCCCTAGTCCTTCTTTTCGGACCATACAGGAATTGGTTGCAGGAATTGGCCTTACCCAATTCCTGCAACCGCGCGTGTTTGTTTTAAGTCCCTTAGTCATTGTAGTTGCTCTTCTCTGAACTTCTTCCGAAGTATCTTTTGTGCGATGTGGTGACTATGGATTTGCAACCCTTTTCCCCTCACTTCCTCAAAAACCTGTTTTTTATCTGTAGGAATGGGACCGCAGCATACGATGCAGATAGCTGAACGGCTATATACCCAGGGCTACATTAGCTACCCTCGAACAGAAACGACGCACTATCCTGAAAATTTCGATTTGAAAGGGCCTTTGCGACAACAAGCTAATAATCCTTACTGGGCTGAAACCGTAAGTCATTGGCATTTATCTCGTTGCGAAAAGACACTTTCAAAATCAAGGCAGACCTAAATTCACCGGGAGTCCTCGACTTAATGAGTGTTTGATCCGTGATCGTTTGCAATTCCAACAGACTTAATCTAGGGCGGTGGTCGCCAACCAGTGGGCTGGGACTGGTGGTCCGTGAGAAAATTCTGGTCCGTGAGAACCTTTTTGGTTCAGCCAGAGGTGGCCCTTGGCTCATGCAGGATCTGTCTGTGGTTTTCTCCTAAGGTCAAAACGTTGTTAGTGGAAGGCATCAACAGGCCACGGAAAGGCCACGACGCTGGAGATCACCCCCCCATCACCCCAATGAGAGCTGCCTCTGAGGCAGAATTAGGTGAGTGTTTATTCCTGTTTGCAAATCCGCTTGACGTGAACTCAAAAGTTCCCTTTATTAGGATGGCTGGCAGACTCGGGCAAAAAAGGTTATCGCGCAGGTTAACGAGTCTGTCCGACCGGAAAAGGAATATTTCTCTGCCTATTTATCTCCGTCCCTTGCCTTTTATCGCCAGAGCTGGGGTGGGGCTTCGCTAGTAGCGGTGGCTCTTCCGTCCCGAGGACCGGCCCATAGATTTCCACTGCTCTCCTCTCCTCTGTTTTCTGTGCATCCGCGCGTCAGGCACTGGACCCAGCTGTTCCTCCTCTTCCTCATCAGCCACCTCCAGACCTGGGGGCTGCTGACTCTCCATCTGAGGTCTATTATAACAGCAGCACCTCTGTGTATTTCCAGGGGGTGATGGATGGAGGCTGTACGAGTACATTACAAGGCATTTTATCGCCACTATCAGTTCTGACTGCAAATACCTTCAAACTACTATTGCGTGCAGCGTCGCATCGGAACGCTTCACCTGCATAGGAAAGACGGTTCTTTCGCCAGGTAGGAAATGCTTCCCATCAACTCAGTTGGGACAGATTTTCCTTCTTTTTGTGATCTTTGTTTCTTCTTTCTTTCTTTTTTTTTCTTTCTCCTTCTCTTTTTCTTTCTCTTTTTCTTGCCTTTCTTTTTTCCTTCCTTCTCTTTGTTTCTGTTTCTCTCCAGCCTTTTTGTTTCTTACTTTTTCTTTCTTCCTTTTCCTTCCTTCCTTCCCTTCCTCCCTTTCTCTCTCTCTCTTTTTATTTCTTTCTTTTCCTTCCTTCCTTTTCCTTTCTCTCTCTCTCTTTCTTTCTCTTTCCTTCCTTCTCTTTGTTTCTGTTTCTCTTCTACCTTTTTGTTTCTTTTTCTTTCTTTTCTTTCTTCCTTTTCCTTCCTTCCTTTCTCTCTCTCTCTCTCTTTATTTATTTATTTATTTTCCTTCCCTCCTTCTTTCCTTCCTCTCTCTCTCTCTCTTTCTCTCTCCTTCCTTCTCTTTGTTTCTGTTTCACTCCTACCTTTTTTGTTTCTATTTCTTTCTTTTTCTTTCATTTCTTTCCTCCCTCCCTCCCTTGTTCTTTATAAACCTTGAAATACAAAAATGATGAAAAATATTAGCTCTTTTTTTAAAAAAAAAATCAGCTAAGATCAGCGCGGAATTATGACTTGCTTTTAAAAAAAAAATTCATCGCAGGGTTTACCGAAGTTATGCCTTGGCAAACTATTCCGTTGGAAGAGAGCCTGCCCACTTGTGACCGAGGAGACCTCTTCCCCGTGAGCGAAGTGAAGCTGTTGGAGAAGCAGACCTGCCCGCCCGATTATCTGACAGAAGCTGAACTCATCACGTTGATGGAGAAACATGGGATAGGTAGGGATGGTCCTTTCTGGTGGCACATTTAAGCATAAGGTGGTGGAAAGGAAATCCTCATCTTTCTTCAGATGATGGTCATCTCACATTTCTTCCAAGGTTTACAAAGTGTGAAGACGTGGCGATGGTCAGGTTGACTTGGAAGGATGGGTGTGATTCTGTGATGACCCAAAGGGGCGTGGCAGAAAGGCAACACACTCAGATAATCAGTAGGAGTCCCTTTATTAACTCCAACTTTGCTCCCAATGTCCTGGTTACCTTCTTGACTGGAGAAAAACTCCCCCAGGAACAGCCTTTGGCTGCAGAGAATCAAGTCCAAAACATGGTCAACACAAACTGTAATTATAAGTCCACTCAAGCCAAAATGAGGCAGCTATTTTGACTGGGAAGGAGCAAGGATTCCAGAGGTGAAGGCAAAGCAATAACTCAACATGGTTGGGAAGACGCCAGGATCACAGATAACCAAAGTCAACACAAGATAAACTCACATTTGTCCCAGCAGCTGCCACACTCAGCATTCCTCTCTTTTAAACTCTCTTCCCAGCTGTGGCTAACGAAGGGAATCAGGGCCCTTTCCTCCCCCGTAAGCCACCCAACCCACATAGCTCTCCTCTCCATTCCTCCCTGCGTGCCCCAGGATGAAGAGGGGGTGGGCTTGGGTCTTTCTCTGAACTCCTTCTCCCTTGTTCTACCTCTTCCCTTTGCTCTGCCCTTTGCCCTTCCCCGATTTCCTCCACAGCCAATGGAGACACGCTCCCACTCCCTGTCAACTGTTCGTCTTCCTCCTTGGATTCGGACTCCAACAGGGGCATGACAGATTAAGTGTGAGAAGAACAGCATTGTTCTTCCATTAATTCATTCACTGTGGTCATCCATATGTGGTGTGGCCAAGTTCTGGTTCCCAGAAGGTCCTTGAAACCTTCACCAGAAGTTCTGGAGGGTAAATAACAACACGGAGCATTTGCTTTGAGGATCAAATCTAAATTTCCAAGTTTGGGAGACAAATATCCTTTCAGGTGTCTTGTAGAGAAGAGGGATCTAGTAACTCTCCAGATGTTGCTGAACACCTGTTCTATCTTCAGAGCTGGCCATGTTGATGAAGGTGTTTGGAACTTGTAGTTCGGCCGGATCCTGAGGGCCACACCTCCAACGGCTTTCATTGTGGTGTCATGAACTTATCAAACCAGCCAACTTAGTTTCAGCCTGCCCCATCTTGTTAAATGGGCATAATCATATAGCTTCCAGAATCATTTTCCTCCCCCAGATCCTAGCGGGAAAGACTTTGGAACACACCGAAGGGCTGGATCAAATAATTAATCCTGTATTATTGTTAGGAACGGATGCCAGCATTCCTGTCCATATCAACAACATCTGCCAACGCAACTATGTCACTGTGGAAGGGGGCCGAAGGCTGAAGCCTACCAACCTGGGCATAGTTTTGGTGCATGGCTATTACAAAATAGGTAATGTGGCATTTTGTGGTGGAGGTGGGGAGGACAACACTAGGGAAATTAAGGAGTAAATGTGCGTCTCAGGGCCAGTTTATTCGAAGGACCCTCTACCTGACGTGGAAAAGTTCCATCTATTTTTCTTGGCAATGGAAGAGAAGGTATCAAGTCCTAGAATTCCCTAGCTAGCGTGCTTTAAGAGAGATGGACTTCCATTCCCAGAATTCCCCAGCCAGCATCTTTAAGATAGTAGACTTCAATTCCCAGAATTCCCGAGCCAGAATCGTTAAGATAGTAGACTTCCATTCCCAGAATTCCCCAGCCAGAATCTTTAAGATAGTAGACTTCAATTCCCAGAATTCCCCAGCCAGAATCTTTAAGATAGTAGACTTCCATTCCCAGAATTCCCCAGCCAGCATGATATCAACTCCATGGCTGGGGAATTCTGGGTCTCTTCTCCCAGAGATCTCTGCATTTTGGACAAATCCTGGATGCTTCTCCCAGGCTGACCTTCCTTTGAGCATCCGGCAGACTTTTAATCTATCTCATTTTTGCCTCTTCTCACCTGCACAGATGCGGAGCTGGTGCTGCCCACCATCCGTAGCGCGGTGGAAAAGCAGCTCAACCTGATTGCTCAAGGGAAAGCCAACTTCCACCAGGTGCTGGAACACACCTTGGACATCTTCAAGAGGAAGTTCCACTACTTTGTGGATTCCATCGCTGGTAGGTCTCCACTCCTCCCCTGGCTGGCGTTTTAGAACGTGCAAGTCGTTCGAAGGAAAAGAACGTGTGTGAGTCAGGGGTTTATACTGCTGGAGACCTAAGAATTCTGTTCTTTCCTCCTCCTCTTTCCCTCCCTTTGTTTTACATTTTCGGTTGCTTTTTACTTGATTAAAATAGAGGTGTTTTGTTTTTTTAAAGGAAGAATTTGCAGTCGTAACATGGGAGTTTGGGGAGAAATATTCATCCACTGAATCATAAGTTTGCTTCTTAGCAATTGTTCCAACGGTTCAGTGGCTTGTTATATCTGGTTATGAATATGAAAGAGTTATTATTACAGGGTTGTACAGATATATCTAAAGTGGATAAAATATAAATGTATAACAGCTATAGATCAGAAGGCTTCCTTCCTTCCTTCCTTCCTTCCTTCCTTCCTTTCCTTCTTCTCT